TTCTTGGGGGAAAAGATGCGTGTGGATGTCGATGCCAGTGAAAGAAATCGTAGGCAATGTTGCCTCAGCCAGGGAGACAAGCCAGATACCTTGATAGAGTGAAACAATGAGACGGATATGTTGTTATTAAAGTGAAAAACAATCATGAGTACCGGTCCCTGTACCGCTTTCAAGTACCTGGTCACCGTGCTCAAGCTCCGCTGGTGCAAAGATGAGCTTCCCATCGCAAACTTCACGTGTAAGTAACTGATTTTGGAGATTAAGTCTGAGTACAAGAGAGAGAAATTGGTCAGTAATGTAAACTTTTGTAATGGCTGCAAGCTTACCTATTGATCTCGGGGTTGCCATCTGAAGGCAGGATGTAATGGGATTTGATGGATGGGGGTTTGAGTAGCACTTGGATGGGGGATTCATGAAGCATTTGAATTGCGGGGCTCAGATGAAACTCTGAAGCAGAAATATATATTTGTTCCAGTAAAGGTTAGCAAATACTGTCTAGGAGCACTAGTCCGTTCTAGCTCATGTCCGGGATAGATAGACGTCCTGAAGTAATCAAGGAAGTTCACATACTAAAGTTGGCATTCTTAACATCAGGTAAACCACTGTCCGACTTGTTGTAGTGCTGAACGGAAGAGGAAGCGCCACGTAATGCAGTGAGCTTGAACAATTGACCTGCGGATTCGATGAGCAACATAACGGCTGCTTTGAAGACTTGTGTGCAGAACTCGTCTGGGTTGAATCCATTGCCCAAACTCAGCGGGATTCATGTTGCTCCATGTCGACTGTCGACGAACGAGACTCCTATCATGCAATTAGGTCGATTGAAGTCGATTTTGATCACAGTTAAAAACTCAGCTAAAGTTTAGCGATGTCCTATTTCCGCATGGTGCAGCCTCATGGCCTTGCTGTAGGAGGTGTTTTGGAACACAGGTGAAAAACATCAGGAAACGCCGTTCCCGCGCCCGGTCACGGATTCTGGATTTGGTCGAGAATTTTGAGATATACTACGCTCACTGTATATGTCTATTCATAGCATCGGACTGTTCCGAACGGCGAGCTCATGTTTCATTTATAAGAGGATGCGTTACTCTTCACCTTTAACCAGTCGGTCTTCTTGCATTCCGAGTAGAGGTTGAGGTCTCCAAATGTTGACGTTCGATGGGCCTAGGTAAGTACCACAAACGAAAGTCTGGTACAATTTTTGATCAAATCTCCTGCAGCTTGAGCGCGAGGTTCCTGTCTCCGAAATATCTGCCCAAGAACTCTCTGGAAACACAAAAATCAACATTTATCAACAGTACGGGTCGTGTACAATATACGGAAAATATTGTCGACCTGTGGTGTAATAAACCCCTGTAAACCGCTGGACTACTAATTGTAGATATAATGCCATTGGATTTACAACACTCGAATTATCAAGAAGCTTACCATCCCCATTGATTTGCACCTTTTAAATCATGCAGGCGGGTACACCTATCAACACTATCATTATCCAGTCTCCAAAGACAAAATATATACCTCTTGAAATCAAAGAGTCGAGGTATCAAAGGATTGCAGACGCCAGTGAAGACGAGCGCAGTATTCCCACGATGCCGCCCTGAATTTCTGACTTGACAAATATTTCAGGACCTTTTTCCAGATCAACGTTGACATTCTCTTACCGCTCGTTCTTTACCTACACTGTCACTCTTTTGAAAATCACCACAGCATTGCTATCCCAGTAGAGGTGACTGTTTAAAAGCACTTGTTTTAAACTGTTCAAGCTCATAACTCGCAATTTCCTTTCAGTACTACTTCTGAACGTATTCAACACTATGGTTTCGTCGTTCTCTCTCGCTATTCTACTCGCTTCTACCCTCCTTGTCCGGGCTGATGTTGTGCCTGACACTCCTGCCACCGGAAAGGCGGGCTCGACGTGCTCTATAAGCTGGGCCGGCGATTCTAGTTCAAGTACAAACTGGTCCAATATGGCCATCGAGCTCATGACCGGAGACAACTTTGACATGGTTTTCTTGACCAGTACGTGTTTTTCCCCCGTATATCGTACTTCTTATCACATACCTTTTTGCAGCTGTCGCTACTGGTCTGGACGGCACAAAGTCTGGTTCTTACAGCTGGACTTGTCCCGAGGTCAATCCCTACTCGGCTATCTACTTCTACCAGTTTGTTTCGCCCCTCGAAACCGGAAATCCTGTTTGGACCACTCGTTTCGCCATCGCATCTTCATCAGGAGAGACTACGACACCGCCCAACAGTACCCAATCGGACGGTGAAGCCATTCCTTGGGGTACTGGTGCCCTCGTTGACGCATCCAGTGCGAGCTCTGCCCCATCGTTCGCTAGCGGCGTGACTTCTGGCAGTGTTCCCGCTGCTACAACTACCGCTTCATCCTCTTCATCAAGTGCCGCTGTCGTTAGTACATCTGCGTCCGGCAGCATTACCACTACTCGTCAATCAACCGGAGTAACAACTGTCTCTGGTAACACCTCTGGTGCCGCAGGTGTTAAAACTACTACCGGGGCGGATGAAGCTGCAGCAACGACTTCAGCAAATGCTGGCCTTGGACTTGCTATTGACGCAAGAGTTTGGACAGCTGCTATCGGTGTTGTTAGCTCCGCAGTGGCCATCGCTCTCTTCTTGTGACCGACACGGAACGCGCTCATTGTTGTCATCTTGTTCTTGGCGAGGATGATATTCAACGGACGCGCTCAACTTACTGCCGCGATGTTCCACTTGAATCTGATGGATTGTAGATATTTCAATGGCAGTTCATGACAACGAAAGCTTCCAAGCGTTGATGACGAGTCAGGCTGTTCAGTCTTTCTACATTGGCGCGCAATTTTTTACATTTTTTTCGGGGATTTTGTGCCGCATTACTATACAGTATATAACCCACCTGTTTAACCAACATATAAGAATACCCGCATGATTATTTGTTCGTCTGCATACTGCACTGTATCCCCAGTAAAACTGTACGCTTAGTTGCATGGGATAACAGAATATATACATTCGTGATAAATCATCTGGGACCCTAGGTTGTGAAATAATGATATGTTAACCTCTACTGCGCCACCACCTCTTTTGCTTCGGCTGAGGTTACAGTTCGTCTTTGGGAGCCGAAGCAGGCTCTGGTTCGGATGCTTGCGTCTCCACCGGTACTTCTAATGGTTCAGGAGTAGGAGTAGCGGTGGGAGCAGGCTCTTCCGCAGGACTTGCAGCAAAAGCAGCTTGTCCCTTGTCTTCTCTAGTTTCCGCGGCCGGCTCCGCTGCTTTCGAATCACTTCCAGTTGCCTTCTTCTTAGGTAGATCGCCCAACATTCCTGGGTATCCTTGAGCGCCGTGCGGATTATGACCCTTTTTAATCGCGTCCTCAAAATCAATGAAGTTGGCGAATCCTCCGTGTGCGAGAGCGATACGCTGTGCTTCCTGTTTGCGTTCGATTTCAAGCTCGGCTTCATCTGGAACGAACTCCTCAGAAGCAGCTTCTTCATTGACGATTTTGAGGTCGGCGGTACCATCAATGACCGATTCGAAAAATTTAGAAAGAGAGTCAAGTTTGTTGATACCTTATCAAAAGTCAGTCCACTAATTTCAAGCCATATTCAAAATGAACGCACCTTCATATCGCACGGGAATTGTCGAGTTAGGGGCATATATGAGGACCTTGGACGATTTCTGTTCGCCTGCTTCGTAGCCCATTGCTACGGAGCTTTTTCCCTTGCGATCACGATGGGAAGCTAGCTCCATTTTTCCAGCATACTTGTTGCCTAGGACAGTCCATAACAAAGGGATTATTTTTTCCTGGGTTAAAAGGAGCGCGCGAGGAAGGCCACGCTCTGCACTCTGATACAAACAGTTAACCCGAGCCATACGACAGATCACAAAGACACACCTCTTGTACCCACTGCTGAATGTCGTCTAATTGTCCGATTTTCTTGATATGGTTGGGAACACGCCTCGATGCCCAGTAGAAAAATGAACTTGCTGTCCGATCACCAGAATCATAGGTCAAGGGGTTGAGTTGTTTTCCTCGAGGATACAACTGAGTTTCTACGATATTAAAATAAGTTGTAAATCAAACACAAAAACCGCGTGCCTTGATTGTCGGAAATCCTTGAACACCCTAACCCTTAGATGGTGAGCGAACCATGTCATGACCATTTCAAAACTCTACGCACCTGATCGTTACATAAACGTTTGTTGGCGTCGGCATCACAATCAACAGCGTATGTAGGAATGAGAGGATAAAGACCTAATGCGGCTTTACTATACTCTGGCGCCATTCGCTGACAATGCTGTCTCGCGATATAAGCAACGTAGTTTGTAGGTAGAACTGTTAGAACTTACACCGCACCACGGTGCCACAAATGCTACCATGGTGGTTTCCTGTTCCATAGTAAAGATCATATTGCGATGGAATGTTGGATAGTACATACATTGTTCTTCATGGCTTTCCGGAATCCTTTTGGATCCAGCATCTTGACAACAGTATCCTTTGGAAATATCGCAGCCGAAGCAAGCGTCGAGTAAGCAGCTAGTGTTAGCGCGATAACACGGATGTTCCACATAGCGGTAGGATACTAAGAGGTTGAGAGATTAGAATTGAAGAGTGAAATGATAAATTGCGTTATGAGCGAGTGGAAGTTCCACGTCACCGTGGGAATCGCTACACGTGCGCTTTCGGGAATTCGGAAAACACTGTAGGCACAAGTATCGCGTCTTAACCCGGATAGCATTGGTGGGATATACAGAAGACATTGGGTGGGATTTCCAATAGTTAAAGGTTAAATGTAGAGGGGAGAAAGAGTAACATAGAGAATTTGTTGGCCTGTCCGAAGATATTTCACTTCATAGTACCTTTCAAACTATCTTCCATTTTTTGTGACACGCAAATTTGAATATTTGGCCACCTTGCTGAGCTTGTTCCACGTTGTAAGATTGAAGTATTCACGGACATTCTTCAATCTCGATCATAGCTCCGTTACCCAGAGTTCTGACGTGCTTTCTTAGCTCAGTGGTTTAGAGCTTTGTACTTATGAGGCTGACTTCTCGGCTGAGCATTATATGCAAGGGTCACCAGTTCGATCCTGGTAGAAAGCAACAATTTTTTTGTCTTTCTGTGTTTCTGCGCCCTTCCATTACTGCGGCTCTGTTCTCTTACTGGTCTTTGGTTTTGTATGTTAATCCCGATGAACCTTGTCCACAAGTATCGGCGTGTTGGTCCTAATCGTTTCACCTACTAGTGAGTTTTTATACCTTTCCAGCGTCAAGAGGAAAACTCATTCAAATGTCTAGAAACCAAGTATATTACGACTATAGATATCTAAAGTTTAAAACCATAGGGGAATTGTTCGCGTATCCAGCGTTAACGCTGCTAACCTTCCAATTGAAACCAATTCGTCGACTTATGATGGCGGTTAACCCTGAACCAAAAACCTTATGTCAAACACATGTTCCATAATTAGGTGTGCTTTAGGGATGGCCATCTGAGCGGATGACCTGCGATATCATTCACAGAAACGTGCGGTTGCAGCAAGGCTCCAGGAAAACATGCAGGCGTTGTGCGTACCCTTATCGGTGGGTATTTAAAGCTCATGGTATTCAAGTTGTCGTTTTCGTTAATACTTCAATTTTACTTCTGCCCTAACGCGTAGGGCTCTGATCTTGAACTTTCGCTTACCGCAGGAAAATGTTCCCGCTTTTGGATTATAACTTGGTTTACTGTGGAATGGCAACCTTCGCTGCGACAGTGGGATACGTTTATGCTAAACGACGAAGAATAGATCTGTAAGTAGTGCTCTTTCATATCTTCTAATGTAGTATACTCACTCAGATACAGTGAACCAGAGATGAATTCAGGAAGCACAGATTTACAAAGCATAGCAGCGATACAGAACGGCGATACAGTTTTTGGTTTGGAAGATCCTATAGGACCAGTCACGGAGTCAAAGAATCTATTCTCCAACAACTCTCTGGAAGGAATTGATGCTATGATGGTGTCCGCTGCCTCCCCTTATGAGCCAATGTTCACTATACCCGATCCGCCCTTGCCAGCAGTAGTCCGAGGACCGTCGTTGAAGCGTAAGCAGATGCACGATCACGATGAGAACAATGTGGTATGTCCTTTTTTTATACAAGTCAAGATAACAAGTTGTTGATTTTTGAACAACGAACCACAGCCATTAGAATATCCATACGTACGAGAAATACGCCTCTTCTCCTTTGAATCTGTGCGCTGAATTCTTGATGTAGAACCTCGCGGCGTTATACCCCAACAAACGATCCAAAACACCACCTTCAACATCGGAAAACGCGAAGAGTGACGAGCGTATACCCGAGCCTAAAGAATTCGAAGAGAAAGTGAGTCAAGTTTTCGATGAGCAAATTTCGTCGCCAACCTTCCCAGTCCAAGGTTTGCGTTGAACCCGATCCAGCTCCAGAGAACCTGATCAAACCAGTTGGCGACTCGTTTGAACAGCCTGCTAGTAAACGACAACGTTGTGGAAGCGAGGAGCTGGAGTTAAAGCAAGCTCAACATGACGATAGACCTCCATCAATGGCAAGTCGATTTCATGCTTCGGCGGACTTTGGAAATTGAGCAGGCATTTAGATTGTTCCAAATACTGAAAAGAAAGACGACCTAGTGTCGGAGGTAAGCCTTCCAAATAGACAATTGCTTCAAGATCTGAGGTCCTATTTCAGCCTTCTGTTGCAAATCCGGCACCAAGCAGTTCTGACATTGAAGGCGTTGTGGCAAAGACGGGTTCTCTAGCGTCCAAAAATGACATTGTCCAGCGTTCTGTTTCGAAAGCGGCACCTGTGTCGCAAACCTTCGCTTTTGAAAGTTTTGCCACTGCAACACCTACCCCATTTTCCTTCAATAATGGAATACTGGCCTCGGGGGCAAGTATGAGACCAGTATGGTCTACGACCAGCAGTTTCAGAAAGCGTCATTCTTTCCTCGACAAGCTTGAGGATGATGCCGCAGACTTGGAGGGAGGAGAAACTCATGCCCTCCGCTTAGTTTCCCCCCAGGATGCACCATCTTACACCCGTCAGTATTTCCGCCAGCAATAGAAGGAAATAGCAAGCTTATCGAACAGGTAGATGTGACCGGAGAAGAAGACGAAGACATTCAGTGCGAGTTGAAGGGCGTCAAACTTTTCGTCAAACGTGGCAGTAATGATTACTCGGGTGGAATTTTGGGGCAAGTGAAATATTTGGTGGATAGAAAGACTTCGTGTCAACGGCTTTGTGAGCGCGACTAGAATGAATTCTCAATTCCGAGTGTTGATGTACAAGCTTTAGTGTTCCGTCGAGAGCCTCTCTGGCAGATATCGATGAACGCTCGTTTGCAACCTACTGTTCGGTGTACATTCGATCCACAGGAATGCATCCTCAGGCTCTTGCTGGCCGAATCATCAGCATCTCGAGCTGCAGAAATCATTGTTTATGCTTTGAAGGTATGAACGCCACATTCTGTCTTGGTCTACCCGAGTCCGTGACAATTTTACCGTGTACAGCCGGGAAGGTTTTGTTCAAGGAAAGAATTTCAGACTTTTGCAGAATCTGTTATCGGCAGTTCAAGCTTGAAGACAACAGAAACGTTGAGGGGGAATGATGAAGGTTTGAAAGATGGTACTAGAGAGGCCCAAAGTTGAAAACCAACAAATACCCATAAGCCAAGCAGGATCTTGATAAATTATCATATGTTTTAATACCAACTTGATCAGTCACCATCATGGGCACTTCTGTTATAATTGACTGGCCAGCTTTTCACTTTGTTCACCGAAGATGTCAGCAATCACTAATATTCTACCCATTGAAACTCTGCATGAAGTTGTGTCTTCGCTGGACTCACCTTCAGACGTTTTGTCTTTTGGGCTTTCGAACAAAGCTGTAGCGGACATTGCCATTCCTCGCCACCTCAAATTTCGTGTCTTTCGTGTCCGAATATCTCGATCAGCTTCCCTGTGGCGTTTCTTTGCTCAAGCGTACTTGACTGCAGGTGAAGTTCGTGAACTTGATATTCTACCCGAACACATTTCAGACGTGTGCCATGGGGATTATGGACCAGACCGTTGGATGGCCGAACCATTAGTCCCACCCAAGGAGCTTGTTGGAGAAGGCCAGGCTCAGCAATTATCTGGGAGGCCGTCGTTCGAGCAAACGAGAGAAGATGAACTGTTGCTAATTGATGCTGTGAAGCGAATGAAGAATCTCAGACGTTTCGGATGGTATCGATCTCCTCCTCCGGTAATCGTCGAACGAGATGATTTATGGCATGCTTTGGGCAGCCCAGGAAGTTTGGAGGAGTTGGATGTTGTCGACGAGCCGTTTTCAGTGCTCACTCACGCGCCAGCTGGTTATATAGCTGTGAAGCCGCTGGCTAGTACTGAAACAGTGTGTAATCATTCTGGAAATTCTCTAGTATCGCTACTGACGAACTACGTCTGCCAGTTCCTGGGTCTGAGAGGGCTTCGAAATCTTTCCATCTGTACTCATGCCTACGATCAAACACAAGATAAGGTGGACGTTACTGGTATTATTGGGATGCTCGTAGGCAACAAGGACTTGGAGGTATGAAAAAATTGTTTCCTCTCGTCGGAAAAACTCAAGCGTTGCTATCTAGAAATTGCATCTCCACCTCAAATCGCCCATAACAATGTCAATAACACCTTTACTTATTTCTGCACAATGGAACCGTTTATGCAACCTTAACATTTCTGGCAGGGTTCACTGTATTCCTTCTGCACTATTGGTATTTCTTCATGCACATCCGCTCATAGAGGAGCTGGTATTGGCCCCGTTGGTAGTTGGCAAACGATGGTTTCAGAAACCAAAGAATCCGCCTCCAGTACTTCTACCCCACCTAAGGCGCTTACAATGTAAGGCCTTCCATGTCATATGGCTTGTGGAACATGGCGCAGGAGCGGGACTCACCGAACTCACTGGAATATCATTGGCGAAGAAAGTCATCATGAACGGGGTATTCTTTGATGACCCGGATGAAGTAGATGAGAACGACGAAGGTGAGGTAGAGCTTGATCAATCGGGTGAAGAACTGTCGTCTCCCTTTCGCGGGCCCTTTTTGGACATTCTCAAATCCGACCGACTGCCTCTTCTGACAAAAATTGGAGCACGAGGTAATCAAGACGATCTTCGAGATGTCGTAGCAGCATTCCCGCACATACGTGAACTCAGCTTTGACTCATGGGTGTATCAAGGGGAATTGGTACGTCCCGATTTTTGGTATCGCAAAGAAGCTCGGATGACATAGTTTTACAGGATAAATATTTACCTCATTTAGCTTCATTACCATTGTTGACGGTTCTCAAGGCTCCATCGCTGTTCGAATCTGACAGATATAATCTTTACAAATACCCGAAGTACGATTTAGTTGGCAATATCGCGCGCGTGTGCAAACTCGCAAAAGCTTGTCCTGCTCTTCAAAGAATTGTCTTTGAAAACATCCAGATTGTTTTGCTACGTGGCGGAGACGAGCTGAAGTGGGTGTTTAGGAAGTTTGGGGATGCCGAGCCTGTCGCGAGAGAGGGTGAAGATGTTCGTTGTGCTGGTTAGTTTTAATCTTCTTTGCCATCGAGAAATCTGGGTCTGATAGGGATTTGTCTTAAAGAATAAAATGAGGTGCAAGGTCTACTATGACTGAGTACTAGTTGCGCATACAAATATACAGTCATCCCTCTCGAGTTCCGTTGTATAGCATCTATCCCTGATTGACGCAAGAAAAAGCCGTTTGCTTACTGAGACTGCTGCTGACTGAGAGGCCCAAAGATGTGTACCAGGGCTTAAAGTTAGAGAAATCTTACTCAGAGTCTCACCCTTTTGCGTCAGCTGCTCCTATTGAGTTCTCAATCGCAGACTCTCGCAATAATCGCAGACTCTCGCAACAATCGCAGACTCTCGCAACAATGGCGACATCGGTTCGCAGTATATAAAGAGCCCTAGGGCATCTTCAAGAATTAACGCCAGAGAAATATACAATGCCTGCTACCCTTATACAACCCTCTACTGTCCCCGGTAAACTTCTCTACTTCACCCCTCCTAAGGACGGATCGAGACCGATTACCCGCTTAAAT